TATATAGGAAATGTGTTGAGAAAAAAAAGAAAAAGGTGACAAATTTTAAAGTTATAATAAAATGATCCCCTTTAATCTTTTTTTATTAAACTCTGCATTCTCAGTAAACTGGTGTAACATATTTTGAATACAGAATTTTTAAGCAGTATTTCAGATTGTTTGAAGGGAGGTTCTGTAGAAATGTTACAAACAAATAATATCTTACCTGAGGAGGATAATTCTGAACTACGGTATTTATTCATGTCTAATGTGATGCTTCCCATTTAAAAGCATAGTCGTCTTGTATGATGCTGCTTCTAATGTCATAAAGACTTCAGAATATTTCAGCCTTTGCTGTATACCCTCACAGATGGAGAAACATTATCTGCGAAGCGAAAACTACAGAGGAGGAGCAGCAGGAGTTTCCGGCTCCTCTTATCATTACAGATGATCCGCTCCCCAGAGCAAACCTGTTAAACTAATATTAATTTATGAGAATTCGAACGTACAGCTAACATCCACATCTTTTTATCTCTGGATTTACTAGGAAAAAAAGTTTTCTTCAGACTCCATTGTGAAAAAACTGCTATGCTTTGCTACGCTGAAAGTACAAGGGGAGAGAGAAGTGACACATTTCAGTTATATACAGGAAAATATTGAAAACTGTGGCAGTACATGGGAAACAAATCAGTCAAAAATTACTCCTCCTCAACTTTGTGGATGATTTTTGGAGTTAAATTTCTCACATTATTCACACACATTATGGTATTACAGCAACCAGATGYCTGAGCATAAAGTAGATCCTCGTGTGGCTTAATGAAGCATAATGTTTAACTCGTGAAAGTTCAGTAATTGCACAACGAATGTTTTATTTCACAGTCGGAACGGATCATCAGATAAAAGCAGAAACATGTGATGCTGAAAACAAAACATTTACCATGACTTGCTGAAACGTCACGTCTTGTTTTGAATCGGACCAAARAAATCAATAAAAATCTGACTGATGATTTACTGAACAACAAGCGAGCTGAGGAATGGATGTTGCAAAGTCAAACATTTCCTGTTGGGCTGAAAGTGGACTTTTGAGATTTATGATGTGTGGCTGCTGAGCACAGCTGTTCTGGTAAAATGGGGAGGGGTTGAAGGAACCTGGGAATGCCCATCAAATATTTGGATTTTTTTTTATTATTATTTTTTACATTCATGATATTTTAAAGGCGTGTCCAAAGAGCCAATAGAACAGCTGCATCTCCATGTGTGGRGTGGTGCGGGGTGTAGGAAGAGGAGGAGCACAGATTTAGTTATAAATGCTGAGACTCCAGAGAGAGGAACAAACAGTTCCAGAGGACTTCAAGAGGGAAGGAACAAATTAAAAACTAGATTTTTTTAACCTTTTATTTTCCTGACTCACCAATATCTGGGCTTCTTTTTTTGTCCATCTTCCTTTTTTTATTTTGGAATTTGAACTCTACATTTTCCCTACTACTTTTACCTCAAACATTTGTTTTAGACCTTCAAAATGTTTCCAGAGACACACAAAGGGTAAGTACATGAAAAAAACAAAGTATACTTTAGAAGTTTTTCTTTCTGCTAAGCTTCATGGACATGAGCAAAAAATAGACCCCTAGAATGTGAGGACAGGAGGCCCAGAAAAAGAGCAAGGAATTGAAAAAAAAAATGCTGCACACGTGCTCCGAACAGCAGAGCCTGAATAAGAAAGCTGTTTATTTATTCCTGTAAAAAAGTTTTACATTTATCTTTTTAAGATCTTTATGTTAAATGTATGCTGCGATAAAAATAATGAATTAAATGCAAATTTTTGATTCATTTTACTCTACGTGTTTTGTTTAACTTTCAACAACTGGATTTTTGCCCAAATAAGAGTGAAGAATTGGTTAAATTARAACTGTTTTTATATACTCTAGGTAATTATGTTGTGATTCTGCATGAAAGTGCCTCTTTAAAGTCAAATATTCAAACCATGAAAGTTAAAAAAATAGTAATTTTTCAGCAAATGCTTTGATCTTTGTATTAAACTTATCCAGCAACAGCTATGAGGACTGCAAGGACACAGCTGATTGGCTGCAGACTCAAACCGACATTCGACCTATCGTGGGCATTGTGTGTGGCTCGGGGCTCGGGGGCCTGGCTGATATGTTGAAGGACCAGGTGGCCTTCAACTACAAGGACATTCCCAACTTTCCCCAGAGCACAGGTGAGGGACATTACGTCAAACCCCTCGTAGGTCTGCTGACGTTTACTCTGCTGATGTGTACTCACTGGTCACTGCGCCCCTCAGTGCACGGACACGCAGGACGCCTGGTGTTCGGCACCTTGAAAGGAAGGCCGTGCYTTTGCATGCAGGGACGTTTCCACCTCTACGAAGGCTATCCCATCCAAAAGGTCCGCTGCTCCRTCTGCAGTCCCGATGATTCCAAACTCTTTATCTTGATTTGACTCGACAACAAAGAGAAAGAAAGTCCTACAACCAAATTTTGTGTGTTTTTAGATAACCCTGCCTATGCGCATCTTCAAGTTGCTCGGCGTTGAGACGGTGATACTCACCAACGCAGCGGGAGGCCTGAACCAGGACTTCAAAGTGGGCGACATCATGGTTATCAAAGACCACATCAACATGCCCGGCTTCGCAGGGAACAATCCACTGGTTGGACCCAATGACGAGAGGTGGGATGGATTCCTGTCTATGGTTTTAATAAACATGCATTGATTGAAGAAGTTTTATAAACATGCCTAAACTGGGCTGCCAATATTTACSGTAGCAATTAATTTACACTTTCGATTTTCCTCAAAGGTTTGGCGTGCGTTTCCCCTGCATGTCCGACGCCTACGATCGAGACCTGAAGCAGCTGGCTATGGACATTGGACAGGAACTTGGTTATGGAGACTTCCTGAAGGAGGGGGTCTACTGCGTGCTGGGTGGACCGTCATTTGAGACTATTGCGGAGTGCCGTATACTGCACAAACTGGGAGCTGACGCTGTTGGTGAGCAATTTTTATGGGCATACAGGTGGTTATGACCCACCAATTTAAATGGGGTACTGTATTTGTTGAAAACTTCTAAGAACTTGTGAGGTATCTGACAAAATTTCCAAAAGTAGTTACATTTTTTCTTCTTCTTCTTTCTTTTCTTTTTCTTAATGTAGAAAAGGTACGGCATTTAATATGTAATTTGTTGTACATTGTTCTTCATACAACCTCAATTCGAGAATTAAGAGTTAAAATTGATTTTGGTTTGAGAAGCTAGCAACTAGTCTGTGTAAAGCCAAGACCAAAAAG